TTACTCAAAAATTAATTTAAGCTATGTTATCTATAATACTATCATTAGAAAAATTATACCAAAATATCCCACGAGTTGATGTGTATAAATGATTAATTTTTCTGGAAGTATATGTTTTTAAATAAATTTATAATTCCTAGTTGACTTCAATTTAAGAAGTTTATTATTAATAGATGAAAAAATTTTCAAAAGTCCCTATTAATATTACGTGAAATTTGAATTTTGTGATTTCCATTGAATTACTTAAAAGTTTGCATCACTCATTACTGAACTCATTTTTTTCAAATTAAAAAAACATAGTCAATAGTGAATTGTAAAATCAAATATACTCAATTTTTTTATCTTAATAAATTGATCAAATAAATCAATTATTTTAATTTTTAGATGCTTTGCCAAATTATCAAAATGAAGATTATTTAATCATTAAATTAGATACTTAAAAAATTAAATTAATTTGGTGATATATTTTAATAATTTTAATTAAGACATCAAGAAATGCTCAAGTAGTTTAACTTCCTTATCTTATATTTAATAGACGCGTATTATACATTTTATATAAAGATGAAATAATCTAATTTTAATTTAATTTTATTCAGCTATCATTTAAAAAAAGCATTATTATTATTAAGAAATGAAGCATTAATGATTTTTATATCCGATTAATTCAAGAAAAAAGTAATTGGTTATTTTAGTATTAATTGAGCGATTAACATTTGTTAATAAAATTATGAATTTAATAATGAGAGGAAAATCTTAGTGAAGTATTAATAATTAGATTTTGATTAAAACTTGAAGTATTATGATATATTATAAAATTAAGTAACATGTAATTTAATAAGAACATTTACGAAAGAAGAATATTTTTATGAACTTTTGGAAAATAATAATTTGATAATCACTTAACTCACTTTTTGAGTTTGAGTTATTTCTCACATTCAGCTATAAATATAAATTATAAAATACCTTTATAATTTTTAGCCCATTAATAATCAGGATTGATCTAAATAGCCTTATTGTAAAAAATAATAGCTTCTGAATATTTTTATAATTGTTGTAAACAGTTTCCTAAATGAATTAAAATATAGTAAACCTTTACTAACTAAAGATGTATCATGATTTGGATTAAGATTCAATACTTAGTCTAAAATCGTAAGAGCTTCTTTATATTTACCCAGCATTTTTAATGAGTCACCTATGTGTAAGAAGTTAAATTACCTTTAGTAAATAATGAATTGATATGGTTTGAATCTATAGATAAAGCTTTATCTGCCCATATAATTGCATCGTTGTGATTCCCAAGCATACTTAAAGAATCAGCTAATACATTTTTTATGATTTGTATACATTTTATATATACTGAATTCACATGGTTCGAATCTATAGACAAAACTTTATCTGCCCATATAATTGCATCTTTGTATTTCCCAAGCATTTTTAAAGATTCAGCTAATAAATTTGTGTACGATTTTATACCTTTTGTAAATAATGAACCAACATGCTTAGAATCTACAGACAAAGCTTTATCTGCCCATATAATTGCTTCTTTATAATTATCAAGCATTTTTAAAGATTCAGCTAATACATTTGTGTAAAATTATATACCTTTTGTAGATAATGAATAAACATGGTTTGAATCTATAGTCAAAGCTTTATCTGCCCATATAATTGCATCTTTGTATTTCCCAAGCATTTTTAAAGATTCAGCTAATAAATTTGTGTACGATTTTATACCTTTTGTAAATAATGAACCAACATGGTTCGAATCTATAGACAAAACTTTATCTGCCCATATAATTGCATCTTTGTATTTCCCAATCATTTTTAAAGAATCAGCTAATACATTTTTGTATGATTTGTATACCTTTTATATATAATGAATTGAAATGTTTAGGATTCATGAGTAATGCAGCACCCAATAATTTAATTGCTTCTTTATATTTATCATCAACATATAATTTGTATCCTAAATAAATCATGGGATTACCTTTTTAATATAATTATTCTACTTTTTCTTATTGATTAGATTAAATATAATATACTTACTCTATTTTCAACTCTGTTATATATATTTTTAATGATATGATCATATCATCTGAACATTTCTTTATTTCGTCAAATAAACCTTTTTTAAATTCATCATATTTGATCACATAATCTAAAACTGAATTCAATTGCTTTGCATTCAATCCTAACAACCTCTCTTTAGAGAATCGATATTTTAATTCCAATTCTTAATTTAATTATTCAAATAATTTGATTATTTCTCCAAATATCAAACTTAATTCTGATATTAATCTTCCATTTTCTTATTCAACATTATAAAAAAACTCAATTAGTTCCTTTAAATTCTTCTAATCCTTAATATGAGCAACATGATCTCCATTCCTAAGACATTCATGACAATAAACTCTATTAGCTTTACATTTTTCATTTAAACAAGCTAATTCAACATAATCATGTCCTTCAATAGAACATTTTATCTAAAGTTCTTTTATCATATTAAAATATTTTTATTTGTATTTCTATTAAATGCTTAAATAAAATTTATATATTATTATTTCATTATTATTGATGAAATTAAGAAATTTAAATAAATGGAAGATCTAATAACAATTGCTTTAATATTCAATTAGATAAGCTTATTATTGTTTTCTATTCGTAATTTAAAAGAAGGAACTATAAAAATAACTCAATATTTTTTCAATATATTTTATATTTGAGAGATGAAGATTGCCTACATTTGAAATTAAATGAATTCCTTAAAATAACCAAGAAATCATCATAGAAGTATTATAGTTATAATCTAAATTCTATAATTTTAAAGGAATTATTTTTAACATTATCATCATTTATTTTTTAAAGATAAATTAAGTTGTAATACTTTAGATGATAACAATTATTATATTGAAAAAAGTTATTGTAACATTAACTAGTATTTAGGAATGAAATAGATAGATCTATGCAAATAGCAAATTCAAACCTTATTAATTTTGAAACCTTTAAATTTTGACTTTTTTTGTAGTATTAACATAAAATCTAATTTAGAATTTACAAATTTTCTATCCAATTTTTTGCAAGGATTCTGACCAGCTTCTATTAAAAGAGTATTATCAACTGGGTATTTTAAATCTAATGAAAAATCCTATCATCTTATCTAAACATTCGAATAAAGATATTCATTATCAATTTGTTCTTATAACTATTTAGAATAAACAAGTTTTTCTTTAAAAAAGTTAAATTGATTATCAAAAAAATTTTGAAATACAATAATGTTAATAATGTAATCAACTTATTATAAATTGATTATATGATAAATTGTAGTTCTTATTTAAAATGCATTTCAAAATCATTTAAAATATTGTAGTTATTAAGTATTATGAAGATCCATAAGTTTTATTTTGAATTTGATACAGTATGATTATATTTGAAATTAGGAATTTCAAAAAATGAAATCATTCTGTTTATGTGCATAGCTCTATAATTAAAATTCTAATGGGTTTTTTCAGATTCTCCCTTTTTTTCGTTTCTTTAAATTAAAAATTAGTTAGAAATATTGAAGCAAGTTTATTAAAAATCATAATAAGAAAGTATAATTTTTGTTAATTAATTAGATTAATAAATGGTGAGCACCATAGAAAAAGATTACAAGACTAAGAAAAAGTTAAAAGAAGAATTAAATAATTATACCTAAAAATTAAATGAATTATAAATCAGAACATAGTAATAGGTTTAAGAACTAAATAAAAAAATTGGTGAATAAGATATAGCAATGAAAAAGTCTAAGAAGAATGAGATTACAAAAAATAATTAATTGATCCTATATTAAATCTATATGTCATTTTTATTCGAAAAACTTTTAAGGGAAGATATCTAATTCTGTTCAACAACTTAAATTTGGATAGTCTTCCTTTGTGGATCATTTTACTAATAATAGAAATAATTAAATATTTTCAATCAATTCCAATCATAATAAATTGAATAAGGAATTTTTATTCTAAATTTTAGAAATTACTAATAAGGTGTAGAGATAAATTTAAATTAAGAAAATGTTATGTATAAATATCTATCCCAAATAATTTGGAATACAATTTTAAATTTATAATAAGTTTTTTTTATAATATTATACTAAAATTAATACCAAAAGAATTGTGAAGAATAAAATTGAAATATATCTATTAAAAATGCCAGTATATTTAATTGATAACAATAAATACTAGTAAAGGTTAAGTGAAAGATATCTTGTTATTGTGAAGAATATTGATTGTACAACTTCTAATAATCAAATAATATAAATAGTAACACATACATAGAAGAATTAAGAAAAAAAAGATATGCAATTAGATTGATGATGCATGCATAACTTATAAGAATAGAAGTATAAATTTAGAGATAGAATCTTAAGACGGAAACAGAGAAATCTACTTTTATAAATTCTGTAACATGAAACAATTTTAGAGAAAGAAAGAGAAGGGTGGCTTCTCAATATAATAAGTATATAAAAAAGAATTTATGTAATACAAATAATTTGGAAAATTAAGGTGACAAACACTCCTCAGAAGATCATCCAAAGATTAGACTAATTATTCTAAACAATCAGATGAAGTTTAAAATTAAAAATATTGAATTTCAAAAGGTTAATGAAATTGAACCTGAAACCTAGGACTAAGAATTGTTTCGTTGAGTTGGTATTTCATTATTTATCTCATTTCTTTGACTAATGAAACAGTTTTTTTTTGAAAATATTTAAATTCTAAAGTACAGGATATGCAATAGAGAATTATTATTATGGGAAAAGAAGTAGTTAATATTCAAAATATGCTCATTAATTGATAAGAAAAATTTCTTAAGATTCAAAAATATTATAGATGAAAAAAATAATGCCTTTGCGCTTAACTTCACTTTGAAACTATTCATAAAGTTCTATTCCAAAATCTAACCTTTTTGACCATAAAAAGAATCAAAGAAAGATAAAAAATTTATAGACAGCCTTACATTTATTTTACAATAACTAATTGGTATTTTCCTTTCAATTACTGAGTTTGAATCTGATGCAATTAAATATTTAGAATCTATTGTTATTGCTTATCAAAGTTAAAAAAAGATTTCAAAGTTGATATCTAATAATTGAGCTTACTAATACAATGAGAAACCTACTCAAATTCAAATATTATCCATCTATCTCAATATCTAAAGGGAATCGATTTTGTAACATTAAATATGAATCACTGCTGAAAAATATCTGGAAAATAGATCAAATTACATGGATAGTAAGTTTAAATAATGGTTGAATGAAGATGCGAAACCAAATAATCCTTAATTATGGTAGTCTTATGACATATCGAATTGGGATAGCTAAGCCATATTCAATTATGAGACGATAGATTTAAATGAGAAAATTGATAACTTGTTTTTGGCTGGAAGTACCTTCACTGGCTTCATGAACAAATAAGGGACCGGGACTAGATAATGTCTCCAAACTAGTCACTAGATAATTAGGTGAATACTTATATGAGATATATCTGAAGAACACCAAACTAAAATTGTAACTGAATTCTTTAGGTTTAATTATCCAATATCTTATAACCTGAACTATTTAGCACCTAACTGGAGTATAGGCCTTGCCATCTGTATGTTTTGTTCTTAACTAACAACTTGGTTTAATGGACTCGGCCATTATGGCAAATATTCATCGAGTGCCGACCGTCCAATTAAAAATTTTTAAATCTAGAACAATACCTAAATTATCCAAAATTGAACAACTTGTGATATAAGGAGAATACATTTCAATTTTGATGAGATTGCAATAAAGTGCATATATTACCAAAGGAAGTTTTTTCCAAATAGTCATAAACTTTGATACTTAATTTAATTTATCAAATTAATATTGCCTTTAGAATTACTGAAACTTCATTAATTTTTAAATTCTTAATAAATTTTTAAATATAATAAGAGTCATTTTCAATAGAAGGTCGGAATTTTAAGAAGTAAAAATTATGAGAATTGATTTAATACAATTTTTTTACAAGTTCAGAATATAACTCCTATATTTTAAGTAAAAATATATTCAAACATTTATATTTGTATATATTTAAAGAAATTATGTATTTGTTGATCATTATATTCTAATCATCCTTTTTCATAAATTGTACATTATGTTGATTTGACTATATATAGTATATGAAAGTAATCAATTTTACTTTATTCTAAAGTTAAATTTACTAACTTTATAGCAAAGTAACTTTTTGACTTACATTAATAACAACCATCACTAAGTTACAAATTTCCATCATCACATTCTTCATATTATCCTATAATTAATTTATCTCCACAATAAAGGAAACATACATTTTCTAACATTTATTATCTTACTTCACACTCTATGCTTTAATAATATATCAATCTTAAAATTGTATACAAATTCCAAATTAACAAATTTAACTAAATCCAAACATTAGTATTTACCTAAATAACAAGAATTAGATTAGCATCATAATATTATTCTTAACCTTTAGTTATTCCATCACCTAAATTTGGATAACAATTTTATAAAAATTCATTTAAAATCCAACCTTTTTGAAAAATGAAACATTTATCATCTAAACAACCTAACAATTATTACTGGTTAAGTGTAAAATACTTCAAAATCTCTATATTCTGTAGCTGTTTGAATTGTAATATTAATTAATTATAATTATAAGAACTAATTGTTTATTTACCATATAAATAATTTAGTATTACAGTAGATGAAAATAATTAAAAAAACCTTATTAATATATCTTAATAAGGAGATAGTTGATATTTAATATCCTTAAATTACAAAAATTAACAATTTCCACAATTGAAATAATTATAATATGAATATGATACAAATATCCATCAATCAGAATTTTTTTGATTTATTTTCAATTAAAAAATATTAATGCAATTTTTATTAAAAGCAAAATGTTTAATAATTATCTATGCACCAGCGCATTCAAACTAACACTATAAAGAGTAAGGAATTGCTTAGTGTAAAAGTAGCTATTTTCAATATTACTAATCGATTAGAATGTTCATATAAATGTGAAACATGTGAAAGCTAAGGAGAAAGATGTTTGACTTGTCCATTAAATTCCTTATGTATATTTGATTCTTTAAAGTGGTGTTTTTGTCCAGGAGAATATTATGATGAAGAAGATTAAATTTTTTGTCAAAGTCTGTAGGCAATTTAGGATACCATTTGAAATGTAAATCTTGAGATGGAAAGGCTCAAGATAACTGCCTCACTTGTGATTCTCTTGCTAAAAGAGATTTAAAAATAATGAATGCATATATTAACCGCACTTTTTTAAATGTAAGTTTGAGAAAGATAAAATAAGCTTCTGTTTGAAGAGCAAGAAAAACAAGAAAGACTTGATTATTTTTTTTGTTAAAGTATCAAATAAAAATTGGATTGTCTTATAAAACATGATCTTCTTTGTAAGTAATAATTGATTAAATTAATGTAATAATAATAAGGTACTTGAATATATATTAATATTAGATTTATCATAATCAAAAAAGAAACAAATCACAAATTATTAAAAAAAGTCCTGAAATACATGAATTCAGATCCAAATGCTGATTACAAGATTCTTGTATATCTATATTTAATGAGTCAGTTGACTTTTAGATGGAATTACAGAAAGAAGCGAACAATTTATAATAACAAGGATAGCTTGAATAATTAACTTAATTGGAGAGTGATAATAATAATGAGAATGCTTAATTATCTTAAATGTAATAATAATATAAATAATTTTAAATAAATTCAGAAAAAATGAAAAAATTGATAAAGCAGAGGAAAATTATGAATAATTAAAAATAATTAAACAAAAAAAAGAAGATTTACAACAACAGATTGAAGATGAAAAGTTAGTTTTTAAATAAATTTAATAAAAAATTACTTGTTTAGAAGAAAACATGACTACTTCAATATAAATGCTGAACTAATAAGTTTCAAAATAAGTAATTTAATCAAGAAATTGTTACTAATATTAGATTAAAGGAAAATTTACAAGAATTATCGAATTCAAGTGAATAAAAACTATAATAGTTAGCAATAAAATATGATGATTTAAATAAATAAATAGATGAAGCTTAGTAAGACATATATGGAATGAAAAACTCAACTATATAAAAAATTAGAATAATTAGAAAACAGCATTGATACAAAATAAAAAACAATTCATGAGAAAATAGAAGAATTGAACAGCAATATTGAAAAAAGGACATTGAATAATGCTAAAATTATAATAAGAAAAATAAGAACTATTAAAAAAAATTAATGAGGAAAAGATTGCAACCAATTCATAAATTGAGTAACAAAATAATAAATCAAATAAATCATCAAAGAAAATAAAGAAGAATTTACTAAATAGGAAAAATCAATATCATCAGTTGCCTAATCTATTAAAGAGGAAAATTAGGCAAATGCTTAATTAAAAAAAGAAATAAAGGTAGTTGGAGATCAAAGTTAAAAAGGAGTATCATAGTTGGCAATAAAAATTGATAATTAGTCTAAAGAATTAATTAAAATAAATTTTGAAGTAGAATTTTGGTTAAGGGATAAACTACTCTTATACCATTTCGAAAATAGAAATCGCTTAGAGATTCCATGCTAAGATATTCATGGAGCTTGAAGTCTTTGATACTATATATCTGAAGTAGGTTATGGCAAATCGGCCTTACTGCAATCGCTTTATTCCATCTTTAATCCTATGTCAAACCTAGCCCTGAAAGACAGGTTTGTTTCTCCCCATTAACATTATTCCTAAGAATTGTTGACATCAGCATAGTATAATAGGGTTCAATCAAATCTTATTGACCATCATAAATCTTATGAATTAATTTAATTTTTAGATTTTAGATTTTTTGAGTATTTTTAAATAATTTAAAATCAATACATCAGAATGAAAATGTTATTTTAATTTATTCATTTAAATTACATGAAATAAAGAATAAATCTATCTCTATTTTAGATTATAAAAATATTGTTTAATTTTTAATATTTAAACTTCAATATTGATTAATATTGTAATAAATCTAAAAAAATAGATATATAATAATTAGATGTTATTATAATCTCAGATATCTTTTAAATTTATAGAAAACATTATAATCTCTTCAAGTTTTTGATTGTAGAGTATCTATTTCATATCACATAAATTTTCTGATATGTTGATTAATAATTAAGAATAGGCTTGAGCTTATTTTGAATATTAAATTTTGAAAACTAATTCTTTGAGAGTGTTACTGCATTTATAGTTTTATTTATAAAGCTTTTGAATGGGACAATCTAAACATTTCTCAAAATTACTTTCAATCCACTTCCCTAAAGGACAGACAATATTATTATCAATTCTAATATCTGTGAGATTCTTCTCTAAGGTAACATTGAATTCCCCTGTTGTATTTAATATTAAATTATTCTCTAAGTAATGAACTGAAATTGTAGTAGCAAATCATAGTTATGATTTTTGCTTGACTTCAAATTATTACAAATTTAAGGAGTAGAACTTTTTAGTTAAATTTTGAGAGAGAAATCCATGAGAATGAGAACAAGGAGGAAAAGAAATGTCCCCTAAATTTTGGACAATATTTTACAAGTGGCCAAAATATATTAATATAATGAATTCCCTTAAAACTAATATTTTTTCTCCAATCTGACAGCATCCGTATTAGGATATCCCATTCCAGTAAATGGTGTTATAAACCATGCATTTTATTTCTCTTCAATCAGTTTTGAATATTCGTTTGTAGAATCGATAATAAGAAAATTTTAAAAAGCTTCTTTTGGTCCTAAAATAATTTGAAATCCCACTTAAACCTACTGTTGAAAATCTTCCGGCACTTTTGTCAAAGAAACAGTAACATTTTCACTTGTAATCTCAATGATCTCACATTTACAATAAAGAAATACTTAGAGTTTAAAATTGATTTCATCAAAATTATGGCTTATTAAAGTGATGAAACCTGTATTCACGTTTTTATTCTTATGTTGATAGGTCATTTCAGTTAAATTTTTTGTGTTAAAAGAATTGATTATTTAAAATCTTTAATCATCAATTGCATACCATTTTATTCTAACACAATGTGCACTACCAGTTAAACAAACTACCAATAAGCTAAAATCTTTTATATATCAATCTTATAATTTACTTGAAATAGTAACATCTTAGATTTATATTCTAAAGTCAGTTTTCAAAGAAACACCGATGAGATCTAAGGTAATAAAAACTTAAGGAATGGTTTCAAAAGGATAATTAAAGGGAATTATGAATGTGTATGGAATTTGATTCCTGCAATCAAAGTTCGAATTTTATAATTAACATTGTCCTTAATAAATTCCTTCATCGAACTTATTGCCATATATTAGTGGTATCATTAATAAAATATGGTTTCAAAGTCTTCTATATCATTATTTATTATCTATATAATAATTAATAATTTTTCTTAAATACTGTAGAGAAGTATTAATAATTATTAATAATATTTGTTGAATAACATATATAATTTTTTTTTTCATTGTTTTAGAATTTATAACCTTCTAATAATTAAATCAATAATAATATTTATTAATATATGCCATTTAAGGAAAAATACACAATATATCAATCAAATTATTCTACAACATTTAATATTATAGTAAATATTTAATTTCATTTTCAATTTTCCTTTTAATTACTTCCTCTTTTATCTCTTTTCAATAGAGCAATTAATATAGCGAACTTATTTTCATGTATATTTCCATTATGTGCTTATCTATAGAATTTGTTTCATCTTTTTCATATTTGTTGGAAAATTAGAACCTGGTACAATTAGGAATATTCTGTTTCTTTTTGGTTCTATCAGCATGCTAGAGATATCATTTAAAGTTTTTTCAGGTATAATTTTGAAAGAGGAATTTGTCAATTTCATAAATGGAAATTTTCTGTTTTATATTTAGAAATAATAATTACTGAAATCTGTATTAAATCAAGGAATTTATTATAATCTACCAAATTTTAATTTTCTATTTAATTGGCATAGTTTGGCTGCTAATGTATCAATCCTTCCCTTTTGATTTCTTAAAGTATCCTTGTGTTATTAATTTTTATTCTCAAATAAACATACTATCGCTATACTGTGTATCCATAGATTATGTTCCAATACTGTAGAATGATTCTTTATCAGGAATAATGCTGATTTCTTTTTTAAATCTGAAGACACAAGTTTTCTTATCTACTATATTTGACTACCAAAACTAGATGTTTTGACTGCAATTTCTATAAAAACTTAACCTCTTGAAACTCAAGAGGCTCTTTCGCTTCAAAATCAGGGACAATTTTTTTTTGTCGATTGTTTTTTAGAAGTTGATAAAGCCTAAGTATAATTTTTCTAATTTCTTCGTTTCATTTATTAGCTAAATTATCTTTGTTTAAGTGCTTGGCTACAAAGCAACTAACAGAAGGTTCTTAAGTTGTCTTTTTCAGTTTTTCGATGAACCTCAATTTCCACATAAGTTGATATTGTTTCTAGAGTACTTTGTTTTCATTAATTATACCAAGTATTTTGGTTGAACTTATAAAATTATTTTCTGATCTCCTAAAAACCATAAATCTAAATTATTTATCATTTTTTGTAGTTTGAATGCCAATGAAGGTAAAATTTGATAATAATTATGTGAAAAAGATGATTTCTAAAACTTAGGCATAATATGTACTCTGAAAAACTTAGAGAAAGGAGACTGAAAGCGCCTTGCCTTAGTCTATAATTTCAAAGCATTTTTTAGTAACTATTGCGATTACACCAGATCGATCTGTTGATTATCTCTCTATTAAAATTAAAGTTTGGTGATACTTCAAAGACATCATCTAATCTCCTAAACACATATGATGTGAGGATTGGTCTTTTTTTACAGTTGCCAAAATTTCTGATTTCACTGAAGTTACTTTTAATTGAACAATTCTGAGTTTGTGTGTATTTGCAGTTGGAATTTTTATTTGTTCTGTTGATGCTAGATAGCCATTTTAGTAATACCATTAAAATTAGGAGTTTATATCTCACTACTCATTATGTTTGTCCCCATAATATCCTTTTAGGCCCAAATATTCTTTTGTTTTATATAATCAATACAAATAAAACAAAAAATAATAAAATTAAAATAATATTTACGATTTCAAAATAAATCTTGAGCTGGCAAAAGCAGCCCAAATTATTGATTATTTATATTTAATTGGATTAATTAGGAGAGTGAAGGAACATTATAGAATTGATGATTTTCTGATTTCTCTATTCAAAACTTTGAATCATTATAAATGGAAAGTCATGAAACTTTTGGGTTCAGTTAATTTCTTTTGCTATTTTACTTCCCTGAATTAAGTGAAATTGAAAGAGTTTATTATAGCCTTAAAAGGTTCATAGTAATAAGATAAATAAGAATAAAGTTATTTTAATACTTCCCTCATCCAAAAAATTTAGAAAATAACAGTTAATAATTCTTTCTTTCAGCTGCAAACCTCTTAAAGAATCAAATTTTGACTAATTGCTATTTTTAGTTAAATTCTACCATTAAAATTGTTTCAAAATTCAATATGTGAGATATGAGTTAGCTTATTTTATTTGGTAATAACAAAAAAAAATTGCTTTTATTTTACATTCGAGTAAATATAAATAAAATAGATAGTGATTAAGATGATGGATATTTCGGAGCTATTTCAAATTTAAAAAATTAGAAACCAAGATAAAAATAATGAATATAATTTATTACTTCGAAAAAAAATAAAAGCTTGCTTAGTTATTATCAGAAATTTAACAACAATTTAAAAAAAGTTGAAACCAAAATCTAAAAAAAATCTTAGAGACTTAAGTCCCATTTATGGATCATATAAGAAGGAAAAACTAACATCTCCGATGGACAGAGATCGTTAGGATATAGATGGCACTGTAAATCAAGGAACAAGCTTTAGCCCTCTAATTAAATTAAATTTTTTCTTGATATATCATTTCCTAAACTTCAGAATAAATTTAATTAACTTGGAACCTAATTCCTAAATTTATCAAAGGTCTAACATCTCTTAACGGAAAATTAGTGTAAAACCTCATCTTCCAATCTAACTGAAGGCTCTCTCATGTAGTATCCAAAATATTAACAACTTTCGAAAACACCAATAAAATATGATATTAAACTAACAGAGTCTCAAACCTTTTAGCTAAGATATTTGGTTATTCTTAAGAGAGCAAATTTTGAAATACTGTGAAAATCAATGATAATATTTGCAACATTTATTTTTATAATAAGTTTGAGAATATCATTAATTAATGGATAGACCAAAATTATGTTGTTTAAAAAGATGCAAGTTATTATAATAGATGAAATAACCTATTTCTATTCTTCTAAGTGATTTATGATAAATGACTAGATTTATGTTAAACTCTATTCACATATTTGTAATAGAATGGCTTCAAATATTCGATCAAACAAAACTGGGCACTTGATGTCTAAAATATTAAACTTCTAAAGATGATTTTATTTTTCAGAAATAATTTAATAAATAACTAGGCAGAGTGCTGTTGGTTGATATATTGTCATTGAGAAAAAATAAATTTAATTTCAAAAGAAGAAAATTAAAAGCTTTGCAGGTTTCTTCCTAATATGTGGAGGGGATAATAATAGGTTAATAATAATTTGAATAATTAATAACAATTATTTTTTATTGCTTAGTAATTATATAAAAATAGTACTACCCAAATATTAACATTTTTTTTTTGATAGGTTTCTACTCTAAAATAGACACATTCATATTACAAAACATCCAAATCACTATTTATCCAAAAACTAAAAAATGAAAGAACTAATATCGAGTATTCCAATTTCATGAATTTATTTATTCTTAGAATCCAGCACTAATGGGAAAAGTATCCATATTCTCTTTATTAGTATAATTACAAGTGGATAATCTGATGGAAATTTTTGTATTTGCCAAAATATTTCATACCAAACCATCATCATTGCTATATTCATTTCAAAAAAATTGAAATTAAATAACTAGAGATAAATATCAATTTAAGATGAATTTTAATATAATAAAAAATAAATAAATAGGTTTTAATTCAGTTTTGAATGTTATCCATTACTATGTTATCAATTAATTATAATATATTCATCTTAATTTCCTTATTTTACATATAAAAGTGCAATATAATTAAATTAAGTATGATATAAAGCGAATACTATGTATAAGATAATTTATTAAGAGACTATAATACTACAAATATTAAGATTAAAGAATTCTATAAAAAAACCATCTCTTTAGAGGATTTAATTTCATAGAATTTTTAATGTTCAATATCAATAGTTGAAAAATTAGAAAAACTACATATTATTCTTAATTTATTTCCAAATTTATATATTAAATATAAAATATATTTTAAGAATCTAAATGAAAGACAATCTATAAATATTTATTATAATTTCTTTTTTATATTCTAATTTAATGAGTTAAATAATTTATCTTTTTTATTAATAATTCTTCATTTATATTTAAAAATACGGAATGCAGTTTTTAATATATAATTTAATATCTTTCTAAATATGTATATGAATGTGTACAGCTATGAAGCTTATAAAACAGATAATTAGAATGATGAAAAAGTCTTTGATGTCAATGATCAGAATAAACTATAATTAGAATATCAAAGCATAGTCATTATATTTAATCAATAGGTATCAGTAAAAAATAAAAGATAGCCGACTTCGAAAGTAGTGTTTTCGAACATCAGTGATACAAAATTTTTTTATTTTAATGATGATATGTTTTGGTCTCTTTACTAACATGTAGTTTTGGTTAATTGATTAACATTCTGACATTATTGAATTTTATTATTGTGGATTTGCAAGTACTTATTAATGTTAAGATGAATGAGTTTATTTACAAAATGAGGGAAATTATCCTAAGCCAATAACTTAATTTTATTATTCACTTATAATTGGATTAATTATGCAAATTTGGTTAAATATTGGATTATCTTAAATTCAAAAAGTAAAATAATTTCCATTAATTCTTAGCAACATTTTTTATTTATCCTTTTATTCCAAATTTATTGCTTACACTTTGGGAGTTCATTAATATTCCTATCTTGGATTATTGACTTTGTAATTATTTTTTCTACAGCCTTCTATACAACTAAAATGAACACTCAAGCTAATTATAAAAGTAATAATTATTTCATTATTTAAGTTGATTCAATCTTTATAGTTATTCCTACTTTTCTATTTTTAATTATCTAAATTTTCATATACCCTGATTCAGCTTTATATATTTTTTTGGATTGCTTTATTGTGATTATTCAAAAATATTTCATAATAGCAGAATTAATTAGGTTCAGAAACAAAGAAGTAATTTCTAATAATATAACGAAGGAATTTACATCATCAATTCTTGATATCATGATAGGTTCAAGCTTACTCTTTGGAAGTTTCAATTAATGTTGCATAAGTTTGATTGAATTATATTAAGCATTTTCTAAAAAATCAATTTGAGTTTTTCTTTTTAATATAATTAAATAAAACAATTGTATTGAAATCATTAATATATATATATGATAATTATAACATATCAAAAAACATTTTGGTATCTTCTAAGTTATAATTTTATCGATATTAATCAATTTTTGTGATAATACTATTATCAATATAATTTACATTTAGTTTTATTCTACTCCTTTTATTTTTTTCGATTTGATTTTTTTGGCCTTAACTTAATTTCTATATTTTGCTACTTCATGTTGCTTCTTTATCTCATTTTATCTACTATTAACTAGAATAATTAAAAAAAAAAAAATGGTAGCAAAATGGAAAAACTTTGATTATGTCACCCATCTCTTAAGTTTGAGTATATTATCTTTAAAGTATATTCAAATTATAAATAATACTAATTTTTAAGCATCTTTTTAGAATAATCTGATTTTATTGATGTTTAGGCCTATTATATAGATTGGATAGTAACTTTTTCAATTTGAAAAATATGCGAAATCATGTTTGACTTTCATTTTCAGATCATGAATAAATTTTAGTATCCTTATTAAATATGATATGAAATTACAAAAATAAATAGAGACATTCAATTTTTGCATAATTAATAAATAAATGATAATATAACAAAGGGGTGAATAAAATAAAGAAATTATATCTAGTAACCCAAATATCTATTTAATAATTTACTTTAAATATTAGAACATTCATAGAATTTAATTTATTTTTCCAATATAAGGGGATATTAAAGTTAGAATTATAACTGTCAACACTTGTGTTAAATATATTATTATCTATTGTTGTTGGATTTTAAATAGATTTTTTTTTTAATTCTACTTGTAGTCCAACATTAAGTTTTCTAAAGAAAATAAAATTAATACAATTATATTTTTTTAATTAAGCACCTTGTTGAAATAAAACAATTATAATTTATTATAGAATAATTCAATTTAATAATATTAAGATGTTATGCAATTGTTGTTAATAAAGATAATTCAATTGTATTAGCAGGTTGCTATGAGGAGATCAAATTATTTGAATTCAATAGAATAACTAAAATAAACTCAATTACTAAGTGAACACTCAAATAATGTTATAACTTTGAATTTACGAATTAATAGAATCAATTTATATCTAGTGATAATAGTAGATATATTGTAATATGGTGAATGAATCAAAATAGTTAATGGAAATGCTTATAGAAATTGATAGACCATTCTGATTGAATTAATTAGTAATGAACAATTATGAAGATGTTATTATATCTGGAAGTGATGATAAGACCATTAAATTTTGGTAAAAGTAGTAGCAATGGAAATGTTCATATACATATTTCATTTTCTTTTTCCTTTGAGTAAAACTGTTTGATTAAGTGAATTTATAAATTAATAGTCAAATAATTTTAATCAATTAGTTATTGTCATATTTTCTAACATTATAATATCTTGATCCATTTTTTTTAAATTCATTCAGAAATATTCTAAAGATTTTTAGAGATATCATAGAATTATATCTTTTTTTGATTGTAATTAAGAACGAATTCCTTGATAAATTAGATTATTTTAGAGAATCTTATACAATCAATGTGATGTTCTGAATTAGTAGTATTTAAACATTCATAACAATATTGAGTTGTATTTTAACAACTTTGATTCAAGCAAAATCTAATTATTTCTTCATTTTCATAGATAACATCTTTACACTTTAAGATTTCCATTTTTTAATTTAAATAAATAATAAAACTTAATAAATTAAATAAATCCTCTTTTATCATAAATTTATAAAAGAAATCACATTATTATAATATCAAATCAATAAGTTATTTTATATTATACAATTAACAATCCAATTAATTCAATCAATTACAATTATATTATTATAGACTTTATTAATACTCCAATAATTGTTTAATTTTATAGTTATCAAATTTATTATCTAAAAATTAAAAATCATACATCAAGCAAATTATATTGTTTGTCTAATCATCCTGTAATTCTATGCCTTATAATTGACTGAATCAATGAAATAGATCCACAAAATACTTTCCAATCAGATATATTCATATCTCAAAACATTCAAGACTTCTTGGAGAATACAGAAATGCTTTATCACATATTTCAACAGTTTAATTATTTCAATATTTAAATGTCCAAAAAAAAGGTTATCAAGAATGTATTTAAATGAAATTTTATTAACAAAATCTTTAAAGTTGAGATTTTGGCCTATGATTAACATCTGTTAGTTCTTTAATTGAAAACCTATATGTAATAGTTCTTGGAGGTGCTATTGATTTAAAAATTTACCTCACAAATCTTTCTCCATTCTTTAGATTAGAATCAATAAAAAATTCTTAAAGAGAATCAATTAGAACATTACAATAGTAAATTAGACCTAAAAATAAAAATTTTATTTGATACTACTTAAGTAGCTTAAGAAATCCTTTAGGAAATGTTACAGTCTTGATTAGAAAGAAAAAAAATTAGTAAGTAAAAGACATTATTTAATACTAAGATTGTTTATAACTAGAAATTTTTAAAAAGGCTCTTATTTAGGATGATTGTGAATATTTGTTTCAGGAAAAGATAAAATAAATGTAATTTATTAAGTCTTTCAGTTAGATAACAGTAACTATTATTATATTTATTATTTACATATAGAATGATTTACTTTCTTGTAGTTTTGTTTCTTTTATCTAAATGAAATCTACTAAGATTAACAACTTTTTATCCAATGTTATTATCCAATGTTAAATATTGAAAGTGAAACTTGTTTAGCAACAATCTAGTCTCTTTCGATTTTTTAATCTATAATCTAAAAGGAATGCAGAGTTACTATGCAACTATTGGCTTTAAAGATTAATTATCAAATAAATAAAAAACCATTTAAAGTTAATCAATAAATTTAATTATTGATGTATTTAACATTATATATTAAATAAAAAAGACATTTTGATTTAAAACTAGAAAAAGTTTCTAATGTTAATTTTTAAAGTTCTAATTTATTTATGTTCGGATTTTTATATATAGTATGACTGAGTAATTTTTTCGATTATTAGTTCTTCAAAAAAATAGGATAGAAATAAAGGATGACAGATTATGACGATCCTGTAAGATCCAAAGCTAGATAAGAAACAAAGACTTTTATGCACTTAATGTATGGAAAACTTCGAAACAGATGCAAAGACAATAGGACTTAAAAAAATAATCTAGATTATTGAAGACATTATAGAGAAAAATATGAGCAACTTAGAAGATATCACTTAGAAAACAATTTAATAACTACAAATTTGCACTAAAAGTATATAAGAATTAAAGGAATAATTTATGAAATTATTTGATTCTCTAATTAATATAGCAGAAGATTGGACCTAAAATTTATTGGCTTTTACATAATAATCAAAATAATACAGTTTCTATGATGAATTAGACAACTTTATTAAGAACTAGAATGATTTTAATGATTCTGATATAACACTCATCAATAATATTAATAGATCTTGGATGACTCAGCTATAGAAGAACTTAAATTAATATATTCAAGATAAAGATAAAGTTAACTTTAAAGAAATAAAATAAATATTTACTAACATCAGTTGTTCAATTTAGTCACAAAAAAGTGAAATCAAATTGAAGTTAATTGATTAATCTCCAAGAAACCCTCCTAGAGGAGCAAGATATCCATATCCTCCTTTATAAAGACCTATGCAAAGACCTCCTGCAATAAAACTAACAGAACCTATAAGAATTGAAAAATAACAACTATCATTCTTAGAAGAATTTATGAATTATCAAACAGTTTAAATTAGAATGGAAGATTTCTTGAAGATTCTTAATAATGATAAGTTTTAGGTAATTTATTATTCCAGAAAGTGTTGATATTGTAAAAGAAAAAGAATCTACAAAAAAAATTGTTGGTAATAATTTGATATCATTTTTTTAGATATGTTGATTAATCCATCTCAATTTGATATAGGAGATATCTTAAACATGTTTGATGATGTTAATGAACTTTAGACCTATATATTGATGAAGGTCTCTAATTGATTCTTGATGAATAACAACCCAATTGAAATATTACATATTAAAAAGTCCAAAAAAATATTTTAATGTGATATAATTATTAATATTCTTAAGATATTTCTCGAAGAATAATGAAAAAATCATTCATAAATTGATTTCATTACTTTTTATCTAATCTCTGTTTAGATTATACCTTTAGTTCATTAATATTATTTCAATCTACTCCTGGCATTTTTAAAATCCCTTTATACTTTTTTGTTTTCTAAACTCATCCATATTAATGTACTTTTTATAATTGTAATTAATCCACATTCTATAATCCTTCAATTAAAGCATCTTTAATTGTTTTGTATTTTAACTTTTTCTTTTCATCCTATTATTTTACCATTTCCATTAATTAATCATAAGAAGTAGTGATAAAATTAAAAAAATAATTCTCTGAATCTTTTTTGATCATCCACATCAAAAATATCTTGAAATTTAGCTCTTGGAATATAAAACAAAAAACAATTAAAATATGAGCATTTTAAGTGCAAATTAAAGTTGCATTTCTAGGAGCATCTGCTTCTAATGCTTATCTTCCTAAATGCTCATTATCATGGAATTCTTTTACACATATATCCTTAAAATTTTTAATATTTATTCATTTACTTTTATTAACACTTTTACTGTTCCTTAAAAAATGATATATATAAAATTCCCTTCATCTCCTACTTTACACAATGTTAAATCTGATTCAGATTTAATCTCTTTATACGTTAATCTACCTGCCAATTCTTGTAATAACATTAAAGGCATTAATTTGAATAGACTCAATTTTTGTAAATACAATGCTACTATTTATTTTTAAGCAGCATCTCTTTTGAATGTTTCTGTCTTGCAGATTGAGATAATCTTTAAATTTATATCGAAGTCACTTAATAACCTTATAATGGATTCAATACCTATGAGATTTCCATTTTTTTAAATCATTTTTTTCTAAAATCCATTTAGGAAAAGAAAATTCATAATTAACGTTGTTATTATTTGTAATAATTTATTAAGATTATCTATTTACAACTCTTCTCCTTTCATGTTAACTTTTTCTAGCAGAAGACTAAACAAGTGATCTTTAGGTTTATAAATTACTCAAAGATAGAGAAAATTTATTCTTTTCCAATCTAGACTAAGTTGGACTTTAATTACAAGTCTTTGGTTCTTAATCAATATAATTATTAAAGAATTCCTTTCTTTCTATTTAATGTCAATCATGAAAATGTATAGTTCCAAATTTTTACCTATATTTTTAAAGTTCTTTCTCATGAATTTCATCAAAAATTGAGTTCATATAATTAGAGATCTATTAAATAATCACCAGAAGATATTTTGTAGCTGTCATTAATCCACTTTCTTTATGGTGAATTCGAGAATATCACTATGAATATTATCGTTTGACAATGTTGAGATTATGAAAAGAACGAAAATAATTGGATAAGGTCGTAACATTAATGTATAATTTAAGTTAGATTATTAATTTTTAAATAGCATAATATGAAGGATTGATTATTAATTGATATATATATATGAATACTGTTCATAAAATACCATTAATTGAATAAATGTAAACATTAGATGAAAATGAATAGAGATTGTCTGATCAATAGTTAAGTAAAAGGATCAATAAATTAAACTAAATTATCCATTAACAATGCCTTATCTAGAATTAGCCATTTATCTGTTCATAATGTTAATACTGCATTCTTTTTCGTTAGAGAAATTGGAAGAAAGGTATGATATAGGCAATGATGAATATGGTATTTATTTTAAATGCTGGTAACAATACTGGTGGTAATCCTTCTGCTACCTATACATCTGCTTTGATTGGTGGATTAATTAATGGATTCTTTAGTGGAAGTATCATATTATATCTAAAGGTAATCATTCAATCTATGTACAAGCTTGGGTCGCTGCAGGATTCAATTATTATATAGTATAATAATTTGGATATGAAGCAGTTCCTTCTGTAAAAATAAAGATTGGATTATAAATAAATATAATTTGAAATGGTATCATTTAATGGATTTTATGCCAATTATGTTATTGAAGGATATTATTTTGGATTATTATTTTTAATTGCAAATAGTAACATAGATTATGTTTTTGGATTAAGTAATATGCATTCCAATAATGGATTTTAATTAGATCATGATATATTTGAAATGAATCAAGGTAAAATTAACTACATAAAGTAGAATTCTATAGAAGAGGTTGTCTTTATTATTTGGGAACATCAATATTTATATTCTTTATACTATATTTCGGTTGGAAGATAAATAAAGATCTCCCTTTGATTGTATTAGTATGCTTAACTGGTTTGACAGTTGGTATACTTTATTCAACAGAAAAGTTTTTAAAGAATGTTTATGGTGATGTAAGTTTAAAATAATCTTTTATTGAAAATGGGGGTCCTCCTTTCTAACCAGATATGAGGGCACTTATCTTTCTATTTGTTTATGCAATGAAAATGAAATATTATATTACTATTTAAAATTTATTATGTGCAAAAGCAGCTGAATATTTCTCTGTTGTTAAATTTGATTATGATAAAGAAATCTTCTATGTTTCTTTGACTAATATTTGTGCAAGGTATTTTCATTAGTATAATAGAATTAATTTTTAACACCCCACTTGTTTACTCACTATTCAAATTTTACAAAACTGCTTAATATACCCTTCTCAGCGATAACAGTTTTGAAATAACATAAATAATTTAAAATGCATTCTTTGATTATGATATTTCTCAATTATTTAACCGTAAAAATAAATATTTACCTCTGTTTTTCTTTTCAATAATATTATTCTGTTTTAATTATTCTTTTCATATATCAATGTTCTAAAAATTAGCCTAGATTTTAAATCTCTTAAAACATCCTCCATCTTAAGATCTTCAAAAGCATTTGTTAAATGATGATATTATCATTAGTATATATATTATTGACACTTGACATCATCTTAAGATAATAATGAAATACTCTCTGGTATTTATTTCTTGAATAAAGAATGATTGGGTTGCTAATTAAAAGTGGCACATTAATTTTTGATTATGAAATACAAAATTTTAAAGTTTTGCTATTTTCAAGTGACTGTTAAAAATTTAAAGATATATATAAATTATACAGATTGAAAATACCAATCTATATAATGAACAAAAGTTTCATGAAAATAGTGAAGAACTGCTTTGTTTAGACATTTTTATTGAAAGATCATAACTGTGGAGAGGAATTTTTGGATTAGCATATATATTCCTAAATTTTTATCTTAAATTACTTGAAATACCTTGTTTAAACGATACATTATCATTGAATAGGCTAAACTATTATGTTACAGTCTATTGGATTAAATTTAAGATAAGAAAATGATTAAAATAAAAAAATAAAACAAAAGTAGTAAAATAAATGCACTGCTTTTGAAAAACTAATTAAGATACATTAAAAATAAAATAAATTATACCAAAAATGCAAAATCGAATATAATATAAAAATCTTTAGAAAAATATGAATCATGAGCTTCTAAAGGATATATAGGAATTATAATAATATTTTGATGATTCAATTGATTATTATTATAAATGAATAAGATTTGGCTCAGATTTGATCAACTCATCTTAATTATTCTGTAATTCAAAATTTGATTAAAGGTTAAAAAGCTTGTACTAAAAATTTAGTATTCGAGTTTCTGTTTTGATAACCTAAAGACTGTATGAAGAAAATTTATATCAAAAGTAATAAATTTATAGATTAAGTCTAAGTAGAAAAAAAACTTAAAACTAATTGGAGGCTGATTTAAATAATAAAGAAATAGAATTAAGTAAGAAAAAGTTTTCTTGTAATGAAGTGAACAAAATTCTAATTTAAAATTTTTTTGATTATATCTCATGTGGTGCTTCTATTAGATTAATCCTCTTAAATATCAATATTAGAAATATTAATAGATGGTCATCTATGCTAAATGGCTTATCTGTTGTTTTATTCTTTGGAATATCAACTTGGCCTCTTTAGCAATGCTATGGAGAACTAAAAGAAGATTGATTTTAGTTAAACAAACTATATTTAATCATTTATTTATATATATATATATTAAATTCATTTATATAAAATGAACCAATTTAAATGTATATTTATTAT